ACTAACTTCAAACTGCTGCTCTTCCAATATTAGGCGCTTAGTAGATTTAAAAAAGAAGGAGGAGCCCGGCACCGGTGGCTCACACCTGTAATCCTAGCTACTCAGGAGGCTGAGATCTGAGAATCACGGTTCAAAGCCAGCCTAGGCAGGAAAGTCTGTGAGACTCTTATCTCCAATAAACCACTAGAAAACCGGAAGTGGCACTGTAGCAAGTGGTAGAGCACTCGCTTTGAGCTGAAGAGTGCAGGGACAGCGCCCAAGCCCAGAGTTCAAGCCCCATGACCGACAAAAAAAAAAAAAAAAAAAGGAGGAGGAGGTGACAAATCAGGTTGAACCTTCTCAGAGTGTCCTGTCCCTGCAAACAGGCACTGCTACCTCCTCTGTACTCAAGATGGTAGCTCATCACCTCCCATCCCCTCTTCTCTACATATCAGCAGTAGCAGAGATGGCACCAGAGCATTAAGCCCCCCAAGGCCACAAGCCCTGGGCCTCTGGCACATGCCCAACCTTCCTATAGAGATGGTATAAATCCCACCCACATGGTAATGCAGCTGAGTACAGCAAAAGCATGGCAGGGAGTGCCACAGTCAAGGGACAGACTGTGGGGCACTTGGGATGCCCACTGAAGACAGCGAAGGCACAGGCACACAGGACAAGTCACTCTGGGCATCACACACTCCAGGCACTGGCACACAGAGGATGGTTATGGAATGTCTAGCTTATACATAAATTGGGAACCACAGCACTTTGAGCCAGCTATCACCTCACCACAGTATACCAGCAGGACCCACCTTGGTGGCCAGGTAATTCTGAGGACCTGTATATCCCTGGTGGGCTGGGATCAGTGGGGCTGGGACCAGCAGACCCTGCTCCATCCTGTTTAGCACTCAAACCACTCTGCCAGGGCCCAGCAAGTACTCTGAGCTGAGGGTCAATGACTGAATGTTTCAAAAGGCAATAGACCATCCTCTTCATGCCCAGTACAGGGTCCTAGTAATCATCTTAGAAACATAGGGTCCTGCCTTGTAACAGTGGCCTGTGGAGCAGTGGCATGGAAGGCCTGTGACCCTGTGTCTCCTGAAAGTAGGACACTGATGAGGAGGGAGTTGGTACCAGTGTGGGGATGAGACACCTCCTTTCTAGGTTTCCAAGGAAAAACACAACAAGACAGGCAGGGAGAGGAAAGGTTATAGGCTATCTCCAACAGTGTCTTGGCTTCGGTGCATTTTCTTGGGGACATATGGCCAGCAAGTAAAAGAGAGGGCTGTGAGTTACATGAGACAGTGTTAGCCCCACCACCCAGTTAGCCAAGGACAGCAAAGAAGGCAAAAACACTCAATACCAAAAGAAGGGATATGACTTGCTGACTGACAGGTGGTAGATAAGAAAAGGCAGCCATACCACCAAACTAGGCAACCTACTCCATCATGTGCTGTATATGGCCACACGAGGCAAGTCTCAAAGTCTTCAACCCCAGTGGTGGGGCTTGCTGACTAAACATGTTTCCCAGAGCATGGAGATTCACTGTGTCAGACAGGCACTCACTGTAAATGCCAACAGGGAACCCCAAGCTACCTATACTCTCTGACAGGATAGGGTCTATGCGAGACCACAGTGGCCAAAGACAGCCATGAAAACCTGGGAAGGAGGAAAGAGAATGAAGACAGCTAGGATTCTGGTTGGTAGAATGAGGACAGGTAGGCATTTTCTTCATTGTTACTATAAGCTGCTCTGACACTGAGAATAAAGTTCATTCAGGCTGGGAGCCAATGGCTCACAACTATAATCCTAGCTACTGAGATCGGAGAATTGCAGTTCAAAAACCAACCCAAGCTGATGAGTCTGTGAGACTCTTATCACCAATTAAGTATTTAAAAAAAAAAAAAAAAGCCTGATATGGAACTGTGGCTCAAGTAGTAGAATGTTGGCCTTGAGGGAAAAAAAAAAAACAACTCAGAAACAGTGCCCAGGCCCTGAGTTCAAGCCCCAGGACTGGCACAAAAAAAAAAAAAGTTCATTCAAAAATAAATGACAAGAGCCAGTGGCTCATGCCTGTAATCCTAGCTACTCAGGAGGCTGAGATCTGAGGATCACGGTTCAAAACTAGCCGGGGCAGGAAAAGTCCATGAGATTCTGATCTCCAATTAACCACCAGTGGCACTGTGGCTCAAGTGATAGACCACTCACCTTGAGCTGAAGAGCTGAGGGACAGCAACCAGGCCCAGAGTTCTAACCCCACGACCGACAAAAATAAATAAATAAATAAACGACAAGAAAATAACAGTTTCAAATGGTCTCCTCCTCTCAAAAAAAGTTCAATTTTCAATTTTCTTTGGGCATCTGGAGAATTCAGATGGTGAGATATGTCAGGTAAGTACATACTGCTCTCTCTACAAAGATCTTTCAACACTAAGCCACAGAGGACAATCAGATGTCCAATGAGTTATTCACTACATGATTGGGGTGTCTCCATTCCTCAGCAGGGGTCCCTAAGAAGAGCAAGTGCAGCTCTTCAGGGAAGCCACGATGTTGCAGAAGCCCCCCAGCCTATGGAGGCAGGAAACACAATAGGCACCAGGTGAACAAGCTCCCTGGGTTTAAGGAAGAGGTAGGCAGAGGTCTGGAGTGATTCCACCAAGTTTCTTAGCAACACTATCACAGACCCTCTGTCTACATGTAAACTCTTAAGCTCCAGAAGCCCTTGCCAATGTTGGGAAATGCATGAAACAAGATGCAGGATGCACACCTCCACACTATAGACTAAGAAGGACCTTCCCTAGGCACAAAGCCAACATACATGATGAAGGAACACTATCACGCTCCACAGGATCCCTTGGTGGGTCCCTTCTGGGCTCTGCAGCCAGCCTGTGCCCCATTCTTCATGCCAGATTGGTGTTCTCCTTCCTGTTCCCTCAATGCCCACCCCCACCATCTCCTGGCTGGTGACTAGTACAGATGTCACTTGTCCTCATGGTTGGTGATGAGAAGGGTGTTAGCACAGGCCTTATTCTCAGCAGGTTCTCCATCAGGAGAGTTCTCTTGGTAATGTATAACCCTCCCAGAATGGCCTAAACAGAGGGAGGTGACCCTATAAGATACATATAGGCCTGAAGCAAACATGAGCAGTACCTCTTCCTGCTAGGGGTCTCAGTAACTCCCAAGCAAGGTTTGGCACTGTAGGCCACCCTCAGCTTTCCCACTCCTACATGAGCCAAGGAGCAAAAGACCCTGGACAGAGGCCAGGCCCCACTCCACCCCCTGCTTCCCTGCCCACAGCAGAGGGCAGACCCAGAGACAGAGCGGCTGGCCTTTCCTTAAAGGGAAGGGGAATTCACAAGCTTAGAGTCCTATGCGCCTGCATGCTTCAGCAGATCAGCAGGCTCACACCCAGTCTGCTGCAGCACCCTTCGTCCTCAGCCCTCAGTGACATTCCACAGCAGCAGTGCCAGCGGGTGCTCAGAAAGCCACACCAGTTATCTGGCAAGAGCAAGAAGGTGAAGAGCCAAGGCTCGTGCCATTCCCCAGAAACAAGAATCGTCTTCTCCCCTTCCATATCCTTTCTCTTCTCTGCCTTCTCATGTAGCAGGGACACTAGCAAGCCCTGGGGTTCTCAACCCCTCATCCGGCCCCATCCTCCCACCCCCATTCTGCATCATCAGGGCCACCTCTGTGCAAGGCCTAGGACTTGTGGGACAGAGGAAGGAGAGTTTCTCATGTGGGGATATAGGAAAAAGGAATACCTCTGCCCCCACTGAAGGACACTATTGTCTCTATCATGAAAAGCCACAATTCCAACCAAGGGGCTATAGAAAAGCAAGACCTCTGCAGTTCTTTGTCTTAGAAGAAGAGCTGATGACAGTTGACACGGATCAAATTAGCCCAGCTTGCACACACTTGCAGGTCACCCTTCAGGGGCTAGAGGACACATCACCTGAATCTCACTTCTAAGCCAAAACGCAGCCATCCTGCAGTGTGGCCGGTGGCCCTGGCACCCAGCTTGCCCCCACTCACTCCGCCTGCGTCAGCCTTGGAAGGCCAGATAACTTTACAGGCCAGAGGAGTAGGCTTACAGCCCTAGCCAGCACTCCCAGCACGCCTTGCCTGACAGCTGCCCCCCCCCCCCAAGTGAAGGAGGGCCTGTAAACGCCCCCTGTGACAGGAGCTGTCTCTTCTTCCAAAGCTGGCCCTGGACAGCTATGGTTGCTGTTTATATAATCCTCCAGGGCCAGGGCTAACATGAGGGCAAGGTTATGAAAAATGTATGCCAGAGCCTTTGCATCCAAAACACACACACACACACACACACACACACCAAGGGGGAAAAAAAAGGACAAGAAAAAAAAAAAAGATCTACTGCATAGCTTTAAGACTTCTCACACATCCAATTTGTGAACAAATGAGTCCGCAAGATCACTAAAATGCTACAGAGAGGGCTTCAAGGCCTTGTCCAGTAGGGTCCCTCCAGACACTGCCCCTGAGTCACAGACCCTTGAGACAGAGAAAGCCCTTTCAGGCATCCACAGCCAGAGCACTCATACCTCACAGGACGCAGGAAGGAGCTAACGTAAGGGTCCTTGGAGCTTCCAACCATCTTAAGAGGCCAGGACACAAACCTTGAAGTTCCCCACACCCAAGGTCTTGAGGCTCTACTGGCTCAGTAAAAGGGAGAGCCCAAAGAGCAGACTTGATAGGGCCTCAAAACGCCGCTGCCTCTCAAGAGCCCGAACACTATGGGGAAAAGCACTCTTACATCCTGCCTTGACCTCTGACACCAACAGGCTGAAAAAACCCCAACCTGTGCAGATACAGAAATGGTCCCCCACAGGCCATCCACACAGCTGGCCTGCATCCTGCAGGCCAACCACTCAAAGGGTGACACACTCACTCAGCAGCAGCAGCAGCCCCCCCCCCCCACTATCATCCTTAAAGCCCTGTGCAGAAACAAGGACAAAACCAAGGACGCACTCTTTGACAAGCCCACCTGTGGGCCTAACCCTCACCTGCAGTTCGCACCAGGCCACTTCCACCCAGGTCTCCGTGTCCAGCCCCTTGTAGACGGTCTTGAAGGAGCCCCGGCCCAGTTCGATGTCGAATTTAAGGAAGCGACCATCCAGAGAGGTGGCCACGGCCTTAAGATCGTCTTCATCATCTTCCTCCTCCTCGGGCTCATCCTTGCGTGCTCGCCCAGTCTCAGGCTTCGCCTCGGTGGCTCCAGCGTCCTCCTGGGTCGTGGCTACTACGGCTGCCGCTGTCGCCGCCGCTGCTGCCACCTCCTCCCGAGGGCCACCGTCGGGGGCCGGCGCGGCTGCGGCTGTGGCTACAGCGGGATCCGGTCGGGGCTCCTGCGCACTTGTGAGATCGGGGCCTGGGTCTGAGGGGGGCCCGGGGGCGCCCGGCGGCGCTGCGGGCGCGGCAGGTGCGGGAGTGGCGGCGGCGGGGCGTCCCCGGGCACGCTCGGCGATGAGGCGGCGTGTCTTGCAAAGCAGAAGCACCCGACGCTGCAGGGGCTGCGGGGGCTGCGCGCTCGGCGTCTCAGCTGCCTCCAGGCCCGGCGGCTCCTCCTGATCCGACTCCACCACACTGCGCCGCAGGAAGCGCTGGGGCCCGAGCCGCGCCGCCCTCGCCCTCGGCTCCGCCATGCCCGTGGGCCCCGCGCCGCGCCCGGCTTCCATCAGCGTGCCGGGGGCGTCTCGGCGGCCGCCATCGCCGTCCATCTCTGCGGGCCAAGGACACAGAGGCCCTCGTGAGCGCCAGCCCCGCCGCACCTGCCGGGGCCTCGGAATGAGACAGCGCCTCCCCGGGGCACGCGCCCTGCCCAGCCCAGGACGCGGAGGGGCCTGCCTGGCCGTCTCGGGGGGGAGGGGGGGTCGGGGGGCTGCAGATGGGGTTGGAAGATGCCCGTTCCCTACTCCGGGTCGTGGAGAGGGCCTGCCGGGGGCTGTCCCTAGGCTAGGAGGGAAGACTGGCGGGGTGTCCCCGAGGGCCAGGAGGGGTTCCCGGAGGGATCCGGAGGCTAGAGAAAGGGGACCCGCGCCCAGCCCAACCTGGCCCAGGAGGGGGATCGCTGGGCTGTCCCTGAAGAGGCTGCAGGGAGGACCGGGAAGCCTGGAGCTGAGGGCGGCTGCCGGCCAGGCTGCGGGTCCACAAAGGACACGGGCCCGGGGCTCGGGAGGGGCGCGCGGGGAAGGGGCTGCGGCGGCGGCGCAGCGCGCACACAAAGGCGGCGGGTGGGAGGGCTCGGCACTCACAGGTCCAGCGGGCGCCGTCCATGCCCGCGGCCGGGTGGCCGGGGCCGGCGAGGCGGGCGAGGCCGCGCTCCAGGGCTAGGGTCTGCGCTTGGGGGTCGCGCCTGCGCCGGGGCGGGGTCCACGCTAAGGCAGGGGTCGCAGCGCGGCTCGGCTCCTGCGTGCTGCTCCCTCGGCCCGGGCCGAGGCCGCGCTCCCGCGTGCTCCAGCCGGCTCCGCGCGCCTCCGCTCCCGCACCCGCTCCAACCCGGCGCGCGAGGAGGGCGGGGCCTTCGTTAATTCCGCCCCCCGAGGCCGGCGCGGGGGGCGGGGCCTGGCACGCCCACCTGGCTGCGGACGCGCTGGGCCACCTGCAGGAGGGTTCCCATTGCCCAGCTGGTGGCTACTGGCTCTAAGCAGGCACCTGGCTCTGAAGCTCTTTGGAACGCTCCGCAGGGCTGTCAGCCAGGGAGGACCCTCTTTTCCCTGAGAGATGGCAGTGGGCTCTGCGCCTCCTCGTGACTTTATCCAGAATGCCTGGTCATGGAACCTGTACCAGCACAGGATGGGCAAGGTTACAGAGCAGCCCAGGATACTCTACCCTCACAAACCCAAACCATGCTAACTACAATCACAGACAGGCTATGCTGGAATGCTTTGGATAGGGATATGGACAGAGGCCTCCAGAAGCCCCTTGATCCAAAGTGTTCTTCCTCCAGCCTTGCAGAATGCCACCTCTTCTGAAGAGACTTCAGTGCTTTCCCTGTCCCCTTTGCCTTTTGATTCCCTGAGCAAGCTCCTCTTCTTGGCACCTCTGAACCATATTGCAGGGGATACGGATTGTGACATGACTACTGATTTCTAAGGCACTGCCTTGAATGAATATCTTACCCTCACCCAATCCTCAATGTCCCTGTGACTGTGGCACACATCATTGGACCCAGAAGAGGAAAACAGAACACAAAGGAGATGCCAGTGTTCTCATTCCAGACTCCACCCCCTAGTGTGGCACCCTTTCAGACACACCGTTCAAACATGAAGGGATGCCCATAGGCTCTTGGCCCGGGAGGCTCTGGCACAAAACAGCTCATGTGACATAAAAGCCAAAGAAGATACCAAACCTTCACAATTAGAGGGAATCATGTGCCAGTCCAACTGCTACCCAGAGCAGAAAGACTTCCTGGGCTCCGCTGGGAGCTGGCAGTGGGTGCTGGCACCAGCAGCAAATGACTTATGAAGGTTGATATTCAAATCTCTTCCCAGTTCTGAGTTCAGTGTTGTCCCACTGTAGCCTGAAGTCAGCCACCCTGGGAACATTTACACTATGCAAATTGGCCAACATCTCAAATCTGGACTTCTCCAGAAATGTGGTAGCTAAATATAGTGCTTAGCACTGGGCTAGGCACTTGGCACATGCCTATTAATTTATATTATCTAATCCCACATCTACCTTGCAAGACAGGTGTGAGCACAGAGCCTACACAAGCAGGAAGCAGATCACAGATGCCAGCCCTATAAGTATGAGTGGCTCTGGAGATGGCAATCTGAGCTCTATCTCTTAGGGGTTTCCACACAGAGGTGAAGGAGGGATGAAGACCCCCTTGCCCATCACATATTGAGTGACAGCAGAATATCCAGGACCTATCCAATAGGAAACCATGTCAGAATGGAGCTAAATGTGTGCCAGGGCTATCTATCCCATAGCAATCTGTCTTCCTTCCAACAGGCCACTCTAGTGCACACATTATTGAGCTTGCCTGGTGACAGAAAAGATAGCCAGCCACTCTCATTGATACCCAAAATTGGCCCACACTCATAGTTATGAGTACAGTTTCACTCCCATATCAAGAGGAATAATCCAGGCTGTGAGCAGAGCCTGAGTATTGTATGCCTTCTGAGTGTTGTATGCCTTCTGAACTCTTATGAAGAGAGGAGTCTTTCCTTCCTTCCTTCCTTCCTTCCTTTTGGAATTTGAATTTAGGTCTTAGCAATCTTGCTTAGCTTATTGGCTCAAGGATGGCACACTACTACTGGAGCCACAGCTCCACTTCTGGCTTTTTGCAAACTAATTGGAGATTAGAGTCTTATGGACTTTTATCTGAGACCATGATCCTCAGATCTCAGCCTCCTGAGCAGTTAGGATTACAGTTGTGAGCCAATGGTCCTGGCTACCAGCTCCCTAGGGATGATTTCACACACACCTGCTTTACATAGCTTGTGCTAAACATGGCCATCAGTATGGGGGGGCACTGGACAAAGGGATTGCCCCCTTTCCAATGAGTTTCACGTTGTCCTAATGAGCAGGCCTGGAATTCCAAATAATGGACCCTGAAGGTCCCTCAAACAGAATTTGGAAGTCGATCACTGGTGGGACTCATGGTATGGCCTTATCCAGGTCCCTGGTTACCTCTGACCCTCTGCCTTTGTGATCCTAAGACCACAAAGGGAGAATAAGTTTTGCCTGTTGCTTTCCTGGCTGTCCTGGGTCTCCATGAACCACACTGTGGCAGATGCTCTGTAAAGCCAAGGCTAGGTGACTCACCCCTATAATCCTAGCTACTTAGGAGGCTGAGATCTGAGGATCAGCATTGGAAGGAAAATCCATAAGACTCATACCTCCAATTAACTACCAAAAATCCAGAAGTGGAGGTGTGGCTCAAGTGGTAGAGCACCATCCTTGGGTGAAAATGCTAAGGAACAGAGCTTAGCCTCTTGATTTCAAGCCCCAGTTCCAGAAAGAAAGAAAGGGAAAAAAAATAAAAAAGCACATGACTCAGGGCCATGAAACAGCATCTGCCTTTGATGCTCACAATAAACATCTCAAAGGCTAATAATGGGCCGGTGAGAACACCAAGGTGGAGCCCAAGAGACTTCTCAACTGCTCCAGGCCACACAGAGGAGACAGTAACTCCACCCCACAGCAAGCTTCACCCAGCCTGATGTCAGAGAGACTTTCTGTGAGACCAGTTTTCCCCAAACCAGGCTGGGTCTCTCTCTCCAGTAGGATAGGAGCTTTAGGGGAAGTGAGTGAGGTGATATAGGATGAACTAATACTTCCATTATGATTAGCTGGGCTTGAGAAGGATCTTCCTATGATCAAGGTCCCACTGTGGGGTTAAGGTAGACTGGGCCTCAGGGAGTTAGAAGCTTCAAAATGATTCTAACACATGTCTCAAGGCCTAGTCCCCTGGGAGGTTTCAGGTGCTAGAAAGTCTGGCACACCATAGGTGCTCAACAGGAGATGCTTACCTGCCAGATGAGTGCTTGCATGTGCAACAGAGCAAACCCTCTGCCTAGCTCCTCAGGTACAGCTTGCTTAGGTCCCCTGTGTTTCCTAGGAGTGGTGTCATGCCACGAACCTCTCATGATTGCTTGAAGGAAGGGAGTTCCTGGAGCCCCAGATTTTATGGTGGCTCTACTATGTAGGTGGATGCCCATCTACCCTGAAGACCAACCTCAAGTCTCACCATCAAGGTCTTAGTGGTGTTTCTTTTCCTGTTTGTTGGTTGGTTTATGGTAGTATTGAACTCAGGTCCTTGTACTTGCTAGGTAGTCACTCTATCGCTTGCTTTAGTTATTTTTTCAAATAAGGCCTTGTGTTTTTCCTAGGAAAGCCTGGACTGTGGCCTCACTATTTATGCTGTCCATGTAGCTGTGATGACAGTGGTGCGTTACCACATATGGCTATTAACTAGGTTGAGGTAAACTTTCCGCTCAGATTGGCTTTGAACCACGATCCTCCCAATCTCTGCTTCTCAAGTATCTGAGATTGTAAGCATGAGCCACTGTACCTGTTTTTCTTGGCTCTGACCCACCCAAGCTCATCCATGGGGGCTAGGCAGACTGGAGGGTTCACAGCCCTGGTACCAAATGAGGGCTGCAGAGCACCCACTATTTAGAGAACTCTTGCAGTGCTGTTCTCGGAAGTACAGGACCCAGGGTTGTCCCTGGAAAGGGCAGGCAATCCATGGAAAGACTCCATGCTCTCCCAGAGTAAGTAAGAAGACAACACCTGTCCTGTCCATGTGTACAGAACTGGGTGGTGACAATCCCTCAGAAACAGAGGACAGGACTTTGAGAACAGAGTGTTCCAAGGGCCACCATCACCAAAGACAAATTTAGCACAGTTGCTGAGTTTATTCCAGCTATTCATGGAAGAAATTGCACATCCTGGTCCCAGTGGCCACGACAAATCTCTAGGTATAGCCAGCAAGAATCGGGGATGCGTTCTGTGTTTGTCAGGGCTTAAGGCTGCCTGGAAATCCCCAAAGTTGTATTAACTGGAACAAGAATCAGTCCAAAGTAAAGCTCACTTTCAGCCTATTCTTTCTGAGAGCTCAGTGTGGTTTGTTAAGGGCACAGAGCATTGCAGACTGGGAAGTGTCAGATTTTTTCTACCAGCTGTGGCCTTGCTGGGGACAACCTGGCTATTTCCCTTTAGTTGATCCAGCCTGAGCTGTTACATGCTGCTCATGGGTGCAGAGGGGAGA